CTGCTAGTGGGTTATAGTAGGTGCCATCATGATTTGAGAAATCGGGTCGTGACAGTCTCCTTTACATAAATGACATGGCATATCCACATCAGATATATTAATGCCATGTCATAATTAATTTTTAAAATTATTAATCAAAATTATTTAATTAAAGATAAAATAATAAAAATTTAATTATATTCTTTAAAGTTAAACCCAATACATTTTGTTGTGAAAGAAAAAAACCAATACATTTTCTCCATTCCCACTGTTTCACGCCCAAGCCGTCGTCGCCATCACCATTTTTGTTGGCGAAACCACTAGTATTCCTTCCACTTTAATCTCCCCACATCATTACCATTTTCCTTTTCCTCCTCCAACCTCCACAAAATCAACAACCTAAGCCATCGCACCAGATCTAGTCAAACACCATTACCATTTTCACCTTCATCTCCGCTGCACACCATTGCCATCTTTGCCGCCATGATTAGATCCTCGCACCCTCACCCACCTCGTTCTCCTCTCCGTTGACCAACTGCACCTCTCTCTCCCTCCACTGCATATCAGTGGTGTCTGGCGAGCACCACCGGCGCTGCTCTCTTTCTCCGTCGGTAAATTGGTGGACTCAAGAAGATGCCAAGATCATCTAAATAGATGAAAATAGATTGTGAAAAGAAAGAAAAAGGGGTTGGGCAGGGAAGGATATGGCTGAAAAGGAGGAGTAACGGGTGAAAAAGACAATATTTTTAATTAGTTTTGAAAAATATATTTCTTTTATAATTTTTAATATTTTTTAAAGTAGAAATGCTCCTCACTCGCCTTAATAGGCGTGTGTAGTTGCACACTTTTGCCAACTCAGACATCTAATGACACATAAGCCTGGTCAATGGTCAGAAGGATTTGTTAAATTGTGTTTTATTGAGTTTAAGGGTCCAGATGACAAAGGGGTAAGTAGAAGGGTTCATAATGCAAACTGATATAAGTATAAGGGTCCACCAGACCATTTCGCCCAATACATATTATAGGCCAAATTCATTTAGATAGTGAAAAGTCTATATGGACATACTCCAATATAAGCAGATAAAAACGTAAGATATATATATATATATATAAGTGGGAAGCTCCTAACTTCAATGCTAAACTACCATTTTGCCTTTACATCATGTTAAAATATAATAAAAATAGTGTCATATCACTAATATGATACAATAAATTTATTTCATAGTGATAGTTCATGATAAACATATTTATTTAATACCTAAAAATGTTATAAACCTGACAAAACTAAATAGAAAAAGAAAACCAATAAGCAATTACTCCTTGAAAACAAGAAATTAAATAGATACATGTATCTTACAAAGTTATTGTTCATGAATTATCCTTTTTATATTTATATTAATATTATTTGACCTTTCAAATTTTTATGTGACTTTTCATATTCAACAATTTTTGTTCTATAAATTTAACTTTTCCAGAAAAGATTTTTATGTGCTACTCCTACAATTCCTATGTGTAGGAGCTCTAAATCGGTGAAATAATGTCGTAATTTGTGGGAAACGTTGTGTGGTCTCCCTTATGTAGTCATGAGGATAGATAAGAATTCAATTACTGAAACACCATTTTTATCTCTATTTATATAGTTGAATTGTTGCTTTGTTTATAACTTGCTTTTAGTTTAGGAGTTTTATGTGTTCAAAAACAGATTGATTGTTACATTAGATTTTGTTTAAATTTTCATTATCAAGACAAGATCGAAAAGAATAATTAATTGTCTTGCTTATGTGTTTCTTTTTTGTTCTTTGTATTGGTAATATCAATTTTAAGAATGAATTTGATAGAGCGGGTACTCTTTCTTTTTATTATTTAAAGATGAAACATATAGAATTAGATTAATGATAGGTTCGATTAACATCATCTTTGGGTTTCACTGAGATGACTGCATCCTAGTAACGGTCTTGAGCTTCTCCAGAAGCTATATGTGCCATCATTTCCCATACATTATTCAATTTTCCACTGATGATAGTGGAGAATAACTAAGAGAAGAATCTGTCCAGGGCTTTTATTATGTCATCTTTTTAAGAATATTTTGATCTGTATTCTGTAAGTTAAAATTTGCTGACTACTAACTAAAGTTTAAAATCTATAAAGATTATTTACATACAAATTCTAAATCGTCTATGTCATTATTCCTTCTTACTGTTTTAAGAATCTCACATTTGAAGCCCACTCGACCATTATTTTATAGATTAGTGGAACCAGATATGCCCAATAAGGGTAAAATTCTCCCCATTAAGAGGGTTCTTCATTCATAAGGGTTTAAATTCGAGACATCTAGTAAAGGGTCGGAGAGATTTCAACCATCCCACTAGATAGTGATGCCATAGTGAGACAACAGAAACCTCAATTAGCCACAATTTTTTAAAAAAAAAATCAAATCACATTATTTAATACTATTTAATTTTTTAACATATAATATACTTATTAATACGTGTTACACGCGCAAAGCGTGTACCCAGAAACTAGTATATTAAAAGTGAGAAACTCCTATCTTAAAAGTTGGATTACAATTTTGCCCCTATATTAAATTAAAATATAATAAAACATCTAATTAAATATTAAATAATAATATTTTAATTACCTTTCAAAAAATAATAAAATTGTATTATCATGGTAATTTCAAGAAAAATTTAAATGAGCAATTGAAAACAATAATTCACTATTAATTCCAATAAAGACTCTACAACCAAGGTTCAATGCATTACCATGGCAAATGAGAAGGGAAACATAAATAAGAAATTTATAACAAAAACCTTTTCAAATTTCAGTCTTTATATTTGTTCCTTTCAACTTCCATATCAATAATATATTTACAAAGCATTTTGAAGTTCTTTATGCACTTTTTACGAGCAAATAACAAGGTATCAAAATTAAATCAGCTCATCATTTTGTACCAATCATTTTTTTGCTTTGTGAAAAAATTTATACTTTTTTTTCTAGAAAACTTGTTGCTCTTATAATTCTGTGTGTTTGCGGTGACGCTCACGTACACACAACAAACATGTAAGTATTTTTCTTTATTACTTTATCAACTAAAAATGATTAAATCTTATTTAAGATCAAAGAGATTGAATGAATTAGCTATATTATCAATTGAAAGGAATTACTAATAAAAATCGATTATAAAACAGTAACTAATGACTTCACATCTATAAAAAGTTAGAAAAATAGATTTTAAATAAAAATATATATGATGAATAAAAAATATTAGGGCCCTCTCTTAAAGTTTTGTTTTAGGCCTTCAATCTTGTTGAGTCAACCCTGCACATCAAAGGTTGCTGGTCAAGTTATGGCGGTTTTGTGAAAATATTAGGTTAGGGCCTGATGGGATTTGGAGAGTCGTCATAGGAAATGAAAGAGAAAACAGAGGAACTACTCTTTTATACAAAAGCGAAGATTTTATTCACTGGACAGAAGCAGAGCGCACTCTGCATTCGTCAAGTGAAACTACAATGTGGAAATGCCCTGATATTTTCAAAATCTTCCTTAGAAAATTTGGTATTCAAAACAAATGGTGTAGGAATTGTTTGCAACTTGCATTCTGAATTGTTTCAGCATCTCCGGGACATACTTTTGCTGATTGATATGCTTCCATGCATCCCAAAAAAGACTCCATCCGAAGCAATTCTTGCTCGTCACTGCCCGTAACAAGCAAATCGTCAATATATAAAGAAACTTCTGACAGATACTGAAAAACAGGGAGATCAAATTTAAGTTTGAGTTTAAATTATATGCACTTACGACGGTGTAAAAACAATTGAATTATTAGGAGATGATCTTTCATTCACCTGCAAAACTCAACTAGTCCAACTAAGAATTCCATTTATTGAATACTTGAATATATCAATATGAAGAAACTAATGAATCAAAAATATGAAGTAGAGGCCGCAAACAGAAACAGAAAGTAAAATAGTGCAGCTAAACACTTCCGTAATATTTCTTAATTTTATTCAACCATATTAAAGACTATACTCAAATCTGAAATCAAAAATAAGGGAAATGCAACACTCTGAATTACAATCGACTAAAGAAACCAGGCAAACAAAAAGCAACATGTGAACTTGCAGAACAGGAAAAGATGCTAACTTCTATGTTTCCAGAAATGTGTTGTTGATTTTGTTAAGCCTCGTGACTACATCTTTCATGGTTATTCTTGATTCTGGCATTTCCTTTGTGCAGTCTAAACCCAATTCTATCATGGACGCAATGCAGATTTTACTTTCTGAAGTGATCTGTTCTTCCTCGGAGAAAAGATTGGCATCCACAACGTCCATCATACTCCCTGAAAATGATTGTGTGATCCATTTCCTCAAGTCAAGATTTTCATTGCATATCTCTTCATCTGTTGGCCTTCTTTTCGTCAAAACCTCCATCAACATGATCCCGTAACTATAAACATCGCCACTAACAGACACTATTCCATCCGAGCCATATTCTTAAAAAAGGATTGAAAAAAAAGTTAATTCAATTGAAATACAACAATAATTCTGCATAAATAAAAGCTTGCTTTTATACTTGTAGAATTTGGAGAGGCTTTATTATGATAAAAGAAAATCAAAGTGAGTAGATTTTTTATACCTGGTGCAATGTATCCAAGAGTGCCCAATGTCTCGGTATAAGCCATGGACTTGCTTATGGCTAAAATTTTAGAGATACCAAAATCACCAACATGAGCCACCATATCTTCATCCAAAAGAATGTTGGCTGGCTTTAAGTCGCAATGAACTATTGGAGTTACATGCCCATGATGTAGATATTCAACTGCCATAGCTGTATCAAGCATTACAGAAACTCTTTGATGAAGGTTCAAGTGGCGATCTTCTTTATACAGCCAATTCTCAAGACTTCCATTGGGCATAAATTGCAGAACAAAGGCTCTTATATAGTCACTAGAACATGTAGTAATCACCGGAACAAGATTTCTGTGTCTAACATTTCTCATGACTTCGCATTCGGTATCAAACCTCTTGCATACTTGCTCATTTTCCAAATCCAGAACCTTAATGGCCACTGCAGTTCCACTAGATAATGTGCCTTTGTACACAGAGCCAGAACTTCCCACACCAATTAAATTTAATTCATCAAAATTATTGGTTGCTTGTTGAATGTCGTGATAAGAAACTAATTGATGAGTCCTGATCTCTGGTACCTTTTCAACATCTTTGGACTTTTCTTTCTTCTGTCGTTTCATTAACCAAATTGAAACCAACAAGAATATCAGCAAGGATGAAATAACCACTGGAGTAACAATTTTTAGTAGAACCTCTTTAAGCTTTGATTGTTTTCCAGGATTAGTGATAGCACAAGCAGGAATCTCCAATATGTGCATTCCACAAAGACCTTTGTTCCCAAGAAATGATTGCACAGTGGAATGTCCAAACACACCACCACTTGGTATTACACCTTCTAAATCATTAAATGAAACATTAATGCTTTTAAGGTATGAGAGTTTTTCCAAAGACATAGGAATACTACCTGACAATGCATTTAAAGACAAATTCAAGAATTCCAAGCTTATCAAGTTGGCAAGGGATAATGGAATTTGGCCAAATAATGAATTGTTTGATAGGTCAAGAGACTGCAGGTTTTGGAGTTCCCCGAATCTGCTTGGTATCATGCCTGAAAAGTGGTTACCAGAAAGATGTATTTCTACAATGGCTTTCAGTTCTCCAATATCTGATGGAATTTTTCCCTCTATAGAATTTTGTGACACACTTAGATAGAGAAGACCACTCATTTTCCAAAGGTTCCCTGGAATTTTTGATAATTTATTGGAACTCAAAAAAAGGTTTTGTAGCATGCTAAGATTTCCTAAGCATTCTGGAATTAGTCCAGAGAGCTCATTATTACCTAGATAAGAATGAACCAAATTAGATAAATGGCATACTGCCTCTGGAATATGTCCCTGCAATTTATTGTTATGTAGATACAACCCTTGGAGTTGTTTAAGCTTACCAACATCAGAAGGAATGCTTCCCCGCAACTCGTTTGCTTCAAAGCTTAGCATTAATAGACCACTCATATTGCCTATACCTATGGGGATGAGGCCACTGATGTGTGCACCTGCTATATGAAACTTTTGAATAGTAGATGAAAGATTCCCAATAGAATTGGGCAGAATGCCATAAAACGGATTGGAACCCACTTGTAGATATTTCAACATCCTACAGTCCACCAAAGAATTGAAAAATCGCAACTCATACTCTCCAGGTTCATTGGTAAGTTGATTATCATTTAGGATCAGATATCGCAACTCACGAAGATTTCCTAAATTAGTAGGAATAGTTCCTGTGAGAAAGTTATCAATTAGCGACAGTAGCTCAAGCTTGGAAGCATTTGTTATGAACAATGGAATTTCCCCTTCCAGCTGATTGACTGCCAAGTGAAGTACTTTAAGGTTAGGAAGATGAAGACCTGCAGTGGTTGGAATTCTACCCGAGAGGTTATTGTTACTGAAATCAAGAAATTCCAAAGAAGATATGTTGAAAATAGCCTCTGGAATTTGACCAATAAGATTAGAATTATTGGCAAAGCTTAATTCCCTTAAATTTGATAGCTTCCCTAATTCCGGAGGAATTTGCCCCACTATGCGATTGTTTTGACAATAAAGATATTGCAGAGTTGAAATATTTCCCAATGAAGTGGGAATAGTCCCTTTTATTAAATTATGACGAATATAAAACTCCTGGAGATTGGATAAACAACCAATATTTCTGGGTAAGTCTCCAGTTATGTTGTTGAAAGATAAGAACAAAACTTGGAGCTCCGTGAGTTGGCATATGTTGGAAGGAATGCAACCAGAAATTTGGTTTTGATATATACTTAAAAAGTACAGATTTGACACAATATTGCCTTCATCTAGCAACAGAGGACCAGAAAGGCTATTGAGTGACAGAGATACGGCAAGTAGTGACGAGATATTAAACAGTGTTGCGGGAATGGAACCTGTTAATTGATTATTGAACAAGATAAAAAATGCAAGCTGGCTCAGATTACCGACCTCCTTTGGAATGTTGCCGCTGACTCTATTCCCAGATAAACTGAAGTTCATCATTTTTGTGGCATTTCCAACTGAAGGAGGGATTATACCCGTGAGGCTATTGTTCCTGAGATTTAAGACTCTGAGTTCGGGTACATACCAAGGGCCTCTCCACATTTCACCACTGAGTTCATTGAAGGCCAATGAAATTACTTGAACTCTTCGGTTTTGAAATAGACTTGTTGGTATACTTCCGTTGAGCTGATTGTTTTTAACGTCAATGACTCGCAAGCGAGGCATGTGGCCAATGCCATAAGGGATGCCACCGTGGAAGCTGTTGTTCTGGAGATTGAGAACACTGAGGAAGGACAAATTGGCCAAAGATGTCGAAATTGTGCCTTGAAGTTGCAAATTAGGAAGAGCCAAGGCCACAACCCTTTGCGTTTTTGGAGTGCAAGTGACACCAAACCAAGAGCAAAAAGAAGTATTTTTGGTCCAATTATTTGCCAAAAAATGTGTGGGACTGGTAACAAGATTTTGGAAAGCTTGTAGAGCTTGTTGGTCAGTCTCATTTGAGGAAGAAAGTGATATAGAAAATTGAATTAGAAAGAGAAGAATGAAGAAGAGAATGTTCTTCTTCATGCTGTTACTAAGAATTACTTGAACTAGAAAATTGACAGAGCAATTGGTCTTCACTGCATATGTATCCTCACATCAAACATACAAATCATTAACTTCTTTCGTATGGAATGGTCCTTAACATGAAAAAATTTCGATTACAAAATAAATGTTGAATGTATTCTATTTATAGGGATGGCAATGGGGTGGGTTACGCTTCAAACCCACAAAAATTCAACCTGTACTACTTAGTAAAAAATTTTGCTTTCAACCCGTCCCACCCGCCCTGTACAGAAAAAAATACTCCCTCTGTCCCAATAATATGTGATATTTTTCATTTTTCGAGAGTCAAACAATTTAATTTTGACTGCGAATTTGCTCATGGAATCTTCAATTCATTTTGAAATTAAATTTATACATTTGTAAACTATGTAAAAGGTACTATAAGTCACGATAATTAATAATTCAAAATGTTTAAAAGATCTATGAAAAAATTACGGTCAAAGACACTTGTTTGAACCTCGAAATCCAAAAAGTGTCTTATAAAATGGGACAGAGAGAATATTATTCAGCATAAATTTATACATTATTATATCATTAAAGTTAGGATGAAATCATGCATTAATATTCTACAAAGATTAAAGCTTAATTATAATAAACTTGACTAATAAATCTCTAAACCCATACCATTTATTATTTAGTTAAGTCGCATCAAATTGTGAATAAAAAAATCTTTTATTTTTATGCTTTATTTTGAACCATATCAAAACAATTTTGCATTGTTATTTAATTTATAAATAATATTTTCATAAGAATACAATTTAATTCTGGTAATCATTGGTCATTTTGAAACATGAACTTTTAGATTTTAAATTTGAGATAGTCGGTTGTAATTTTCTTATCTAATCTATAAAAAAAATGGAATAGAAATATTTAAGGGGAGATCTTATTTTTTTGGTATAAATAAAAAGGAAAGTTTTACTTAATATGTTTAATATCTTATAATTTGCATGTTAACTGTGTAAAGTTTAGCCTTCAGTTGTAGGTTAATAATATAATGTGATTCACTATTGAAATTAATTCACTACTTCACCCCTCATTTAAGGTTTTTGATTTATGAGGAAATTGATGAAGACCAAAGGTTACAATAATTAAGTAGCCTCTTTTATTTTTGGCTCATTTTTTTTTTTTTTAATTTGATCCATCTTATCTCCATCACGTAAGATCTTTCTATTTAAAGTCACCTAGAGAGGGAGCTAAATTTGCAAATCTAATATGAGTTTCTTTTGTTACTAAAGTATGATAATTCTCTCTTATAAATTAAGAACCATTTTCTCATAATTTTATATCATTTCTATCGTCTTTTTTGGTTTTCTTTTCCGTCTTAGTCAATAGACCGTAAAGGAAAAGTTGGCATCGATCTTTGTAGAATTGTTAAGGGCAATCACATTATTGTTGCATTTAGATCAAAGATGTTATGATTGATTGATAGTAAAAGAATATTTGGAAGAAAATAATATTTTTTTATCATTTATGAACTACACCAAAATAACTAAATTTTTGTACTATTTTATGTAAAGTGATTATAGTGATGATCATTTGTAAGTGATTTTTGTAGTATATTTGTTTTGAATGTTCTTTTATAATGTATTTTTTCTTTATCCTTTTTTTAGTTAAATATGTTCTCGGCTTATATAAAGAAATTTGTGTAGAGATTACAATTATATAGATATTACTTATTTAGACTTTATATAATTATTGGCATGGAACAAAATATTATATTTCTTATTTTCAAATGAAATTAAAAATTAACTTAGTGAAAGATTAAATATTTTATGATCTGCAGATCATTGTATTTTACATGGATAATATGAATACAGATTTGTTGAATGACTATACATGCATTAATAATTAGTTCATTATATTAATAATAAGGAGACCTAAAAGTATAAAGTTGTTAGATCAAAATATTCATATAAAATTAGATAACTATTTTATTTTTCAAACAAACACTCTTACTCTATAGTATCTGTGTAACAGAAATAGGTAAAAATTCTTCCTATATCCAGTGTCAGTTATACTTTCAAGGCAACACTAAATTCTATAAACAATTATTCCCTCCGTCTCATTTTATGTGGCAACATTTGACCAGATACGGAGTTTAAAAAATAAATGAAGACTTTGAAATGTTTACCAAATTGCCCTTTAAAAAGTAGACTCACTTTTCACTCTCCTCATAAATGTTTTGGAGTATTATTTTAAGATTAAATGGGACCAACAAGGGTAAAAGAGGAATTGTACCTTTAAATATTTACCATATAAGGAAATGTGACATTCTTTTTGGGACTGACCAAAAAGGAAATGGTGCCACATAAAATGGGACGGAGGGAGTAATATTTTACGATCTAATTTTCTTAGACATAAAGAGATTATTATTATTATTATTATTATTATTATTATTATTATTATTATTATTATTATTATTATTATCTTAATTTCTTTATATTAAGTTTCTGCAAAAGAAAATTAATTCAATACCTTGAGTTGTTTTAGGCAAAGTGAAACATTATAATAAGATGTCTAAGGACTTATGTAGGGGACATGCATCATATACTATAAATTTATAAAAATTGTACACTTAGCTACACACATACCCAGAAAGTAGTTTATAATCTGCGGTTGTTCGTAGTTATTATTATGGTAAATCTTCCCCTAGAAACTTGTTTGTGCATTTCGATTACATAACAGTGAATCTGAAATCATAACTAATATATTTTTCCATTCACTATAATTAATAACTGTTGTGAGCATATAATATTCTTGAGCAATTTTTATGTGTAATATGTAACTGAAAGATAAAGTGATCATAGCATTCTTAAGAGTGAATAGGTTAATAAACCACTAAACTATTTTTGTCTTCGCAAGTTTCATACATAAACTATAAAATTCATATTAAATGAAATATATTTAAAGTCAAATCTTTTTATATATATGGTTGAGATTTCCACAAACTTTTATGTGATGTATATATTACAAGTTATTGAAATGACGTCACATTGAGAAATACATTGGCCAACTTTATAAAGACAAAACCACAAGAAGACAGGTGAATTATGCGTAAACTGAGGGGTAAGGGAATCGATTGAGAAAAGTCAATCAACTTGTTTTATTGAGAAATCACAATTTTTTTAATTAAAAAAGTTGCATTATTTATATGGTCCAGAACCAAGTCAACGAGAGGTCATGAAGTCTAAGACAAGTTTGGAAAAAAGTGTATGTATGTTGCTTGACCTTTCAATATAGACGGATTCCTGATTTAAAGTTGATAATTTTTTATGATAATTTTAAAAGAATATATCTATATAATAATAACTAGATTCATAGTTTTTAAATTGTTTTTTCTTTATTATTATTTTTTTTTAAAAATTGAATTCATAGTCAGATGTTTATAAATATTTTGTGAATTTCTCAATTATAAATATATAATTTGAGAGATATGTTTTGATAAATAATTGGTGATAGTTCAAGTAGGAAACTAAAAAATCTTTCATGCATAAAACTCGCCAAAAAATGATACTTCAAATGTGTTTTTTACCATTATATCTTGTCTTTTTTGCTAAACATGTTTTAGCTTGAAACTCAATCATAATAACCAATGGGCGATGAGCCTATACTCATACTAAGCTTAGTAAAGTTATAACAGAGATGTTTATTGCTAGCTTATATAAATGTGACACTGTTTATAAAAAATCATGGAATTTAAGTCATTTCTAGCGATCAAAGTGTTATTCAACCTATAAATGAATGATCATATATCTGTAGCATATATACATGGATTGGAAAAAAACCATCTAAGACATATTTTCAACCTATAACTATGATATCAGGGTGCTATTTCAATGAGATTGTTAGATTATTTTTTTCTCAATTAAACTCATGAATATAGCAGAAGCCTCACACTTACCTGAATATAGCAGCTGCACAATGAATGTCGTTGCGACTTTTGCATAAATCTTGAAGGTAAACTAGCATCATTAAATCATATCCTGAAGTCTTCAAGTACAAGAGACTTCCAATCAAACTTCTATAATACGAAGCATCACACTATCCGACTCCATCCTCCTTGAAAAAATTAGTATTCAAAACAAATAGTGTAGGAATTGTTTTGCAATTTGCATTCTGAAATAAATTGATAGAAAGTGAAACAGCTTCACATTTTCCGGCTCCATCACATTTTGGTTTATTCAAGCATTCAAAACATAGCTACAAATAAAGAAAGTGAACGAATGACTAAAGAAACCAGTACTCAAATCTCAAATCACAAAATGTCTCAAGTACAAACAGTACATGTCTCCAGGTAGTACGAACGACTAAAGAAACCAGGAAAACAAAAGGCAACATGTTAACTTGCAGCTCAGAAAGAACACCACCAGAAGAGATTTCTATGTTTCCAGAAATGTGTTGTTGATTTTGTTAAGCCTTTTGACTACTTCTTTCATGGTTATTCTTGATTCTGCCATTTCCTTTGTGCAGTCTAAAGCCAATTCTATCATGGACGCAATGCAGATTTCACTTTTGGAAGTGATCTGTTCTTCCTCGGAAAAAATATTGGCATCCACAACGTCCATCATACTCCCTGAAAATGATTGTGTTATCCATTTCCTCAAGTCAAGATTTTCATTGCATATCTCTTCATCTGTTGGCCTTCTTTTCGTCAAAACCTCCATCAACATGATGCCGTAGCTATAAACATCACCACTAGCAGACACTATTCCCTCCGAGCCATATTCTTAGAAAAGGATTGAAGAAAAGTTACTCAATTGAAATACAACAATAATTATGCATAAATAAAGACTTGCATTTTTACTTCTAGAATTGGAAAGACTTAATTATGATAAGAGAAAATCAAAGAGAGCAGATTTTTTATACCTGGTGCAATGTATCCAAGAGTGCCCAATGTCTCTGTATAAGCCATGGACTTGCTTATGGCTAAAATTTTAGAGATTCCAAAATCACCAACATGAGCCACCATATCTTCATCCAAAAGAATGTTGGCTGGCTTTAAGTCGCAATGAACTATTGGAGTGACATGACCATGATGTAGATATTCAATTGCCATAGCTGCATCAAGCATTACAGTGATTCTTTGAAGAAGGTTCAAGTGGCAATCTTCTCTGTACAACCAATTCTCAAGACTCCCGTTGGGCATATATTGCAGAACAAAGGCTCTTATATAGTCACTAGAACAAGTAGTAACTACCGGGACAAGATTTCTATGCCTGACATTTCTCATCACTTGGCATTCAGTATCAAACCTTTTGCATACTTGCTCAATTTCCAAATCCAGAACCTTTATTGCCACTACACTTCCACCAGATAATGTGCCTTTGTACACAGAGCCAGAACCTCCCACACCAATTAAATTGGATTCATCAAAATTATTTGTTGCTCGTTGAATCTCGTGATAAGAAACTAGTTGATGAGTTCTGATCTCCGGTACCTTTTCCACATCTTTAGACTTTCCTTTCTTCTGTCGTTTCATTATCCAAATTGAAACGAACAAGAGTATCAATAAGGATGAGATAACCACTGGAGTAACAATTTTTAGCACAACCTCCTTAAGCTTTGATTGTTTTCTAGGACTAGTGATAGCACAAGCAGGAATCTCCAATATGTACATTCCGCAAAGACCTTTATTCCCGAGAAATGATTGCGGAGTGGAATTTACAAACACACCACCACTCGGTATTTCACCTTTGAAATCGTTAAATGAAACATTAATGCTTTTAAGGTAGGAGAGTTTTTCCAAAGACTTAGGAATAGTACCTGACAACACATTTAATGACAAATTCAAGAATTCCAAGCTTATTAAGTTGGCAAACGATAATGGAATTGAGCCTGAAAACGAATTGTTCGACAAGTCAAGAGACTTCAAGTTTTGGAGGTCCCCCATTTGGCTTGGTATCATGCCTGAAAAGTGGTTACCGGAAAGATGTAGTTCTACAATGACTTTCAGTCCTCCAATATCTGATGGAATTTTTCCCTCTATAGAATTTCGCGACACACTTAGAAAGAGAAGACCACTCATTTTCCAAAGGCTCAACGGAAATTTTGATGAAAATTTATTAGAATCCAAATAAAGATGTTGTAGCATGCTAAGATTTCCTAAGCATTCTGGAATTAATCCAGAGAGCACATTACCATCCAGAAATAATTGAACCAAATTAGACAAATGACATACCGCCTCTGGAATATGTCCCTGCAATTTATTGTTAGTTAGATACAGCCCTTGGAGTAGTTTAAGCTTACCAATCTGAGGAGAAATATTTCCTGTCAAGTTGTTGTCTTCAAAGATTAGGGTAATAAGGCCGGTCATGTTGCCTATACCTGTGGGGATGAGACCGTTGATGTGTGCATGTTTTATTCCAAAGTATTCAATAGTAGATGAAAGATTCCCAATAGAATTGGGCAGAACGCCATTCAACGGATTGGAACCCACTGATAGATATCGCAACATCCTACAGTCCGCCAAAGAATTGAAGAATAACAACTCGTGCTCTTTTGGTTCATTGGTAAGTTGATTAGTATGTAGGAACAGTTCTTGCAACTCACGAAGATTCCCCAAATTAGTAGGAATAGCGCCTGTGAGTAAATTATTGGCTAGCTCCAGTGTCACAAGCTTGGAAGCATTTGTTATGAACAATGGAATTTCCCCTTCCAGCTGATTGTATGTCAAGATAAGCTCCTTAATGTTTGGAAGATGAACACCTGCAGTGGTTGGAATTCTCCCCGAGAGATTATTGGAACTGAAAGCAATTATTTCCAAAGAAGATACATTGAAAATAGCCTCTGGAATTTGACCAATAAGATTAGAATTATTGTCAAACGTTAATTGCCTCAAATTTGATAGCTTCCCTAATTCCGGAGGAATTTGCCCCACTATGCGATTGTTTGAACAATAAAGATATTGCAGAGTGGAAATATTGCCCAATGAAGTGGGAATAGTCCCTTTTATTAAATTATCACCAATTAAGAACATCTCGAGTTTGGATAAACAACCAATATTTCTGGGTATGTCTCCAGTTATGTTGTTGAAAGATATGGACAAAGCTTTGAGCTCTGTGAGTTGGCATATGTTGGAAGGAACACAACCAGAAATTTGGTTGTCAGATATACCTAATAACACTAGATTTGACGCAATAGTCCCTTCATGAAGCAAGAGAGGGCCAGAAAGGCTATTGTTTGCCAGAGATAAATAAACTAGCGATGAGATATTAAACAATGTTGCAGGAATATGACCAGTTAATTGATTGTCGCGCAAGACCAACACTGTAAGTTGACTAAGATTACCGATCTCCTTTGGAATGTTGCCGCTGACTCTATTCCCAAACAAATCGAAGTTCATCAATTTTGTGGCATTCCCAACATAAGGAGGGATCATACCCGTGAGGTTATTGTTGGTGAGATCCAAGACTCTGAGTTCGGGTACATACCATGGCCCTTTCCACATTTCACCACCGAGTTCATTGAAAGCCAATGAAATTACTTGAACTCTCTGGTGTTGAAATAGACTTGTTGGTATACTTCCGTTGAGCTGATTGTTTTGAATATCAATCACTCGCAAGCGAGGCAAGTGGCCAAGTTCGTAAGGGATGCCACCGCGGAAGTTGTTGTTCTCGAGATTGAGAACACTGAGGAAGGACAAATTGGCCAAAGACGTCGAGATTGTGCCTTGAAGTTGCAAATTAGGAAGAGCCAAGGCCACAACCCTTTGCCTTTTTGGAGTGCAAGTGACACCAAACCAAGAGCAAAAAGAAGTATTTTTGGTCCAATTATTGGCCAAAAAATGATTGGGAGTTGTAATAAGATTTTGGAAAGCTAATAGAGCTTGTTGGTCTGTCTCATTTGAGGAAGCAATTGATATAGAAAATTGAATTAGAAAGAGAAGAATCAATAAGAAGATGAGCTTCTCCATACATATGCACTAGACAAGTGATATAGAATGTTCAAGGGAATTAATTTGTGTGTGGGTTATTTCCACTGATCAAAGTTACCTCACTACATATATAGCACCAAAACAAATAAAATGTTGAAAATTATAGACTATAATTTCCAAAATGTGAAAACAGATTCATATTGAGGAGGAAAATAAATGACAAATAGATTAATGTGAAGACAGATTAAAAGGAGGAAAATAAGCAGCTAAAAGAAAAAGACACTTGTTAGGTTGTGTTTCACAAAACGAAATAAAAGTCATAATAGAAAGAATAATTGTTGCTATCAATTTTCATTATATTGTTAAAAGCCAAGTTTGTGTTACACAGCACACATTCACTAATTAGCCAAAATGGGAGAAATTTTAAGGTTTTCTCTCATAGAAAATAAACCGTGACACACACTACACCCGTTGTCATATGTAATTTGACATATACATTTTTTTAATTAGTATTTTTGTTTTCTTTTAATTCCAAAATATATTACATTTAACCAAATTCAAATGAAAAGGGTAATTGTTATGGTATGAACTTGAAAAAGAAGGGCTAGTTTCAAATATATACAATAAAATAATTAATTTACAACAAATATAGTCATGTTTTATTTACATAAAAAAAAATAGCCGAAAATCAGACGGACTATACAATATAGTTTGACAAAAGTCATAGAAACTAAGGGAATTTTTGCATATAGCCACTCAAAAGTAGCTTAATTATGCTCCATAACTATAGTTTGCTAATTACGATTCGTAGCTTCGTGTTTGGGGAGGAGAGAGACGAGCGAGAATGGGAGAGAGAGGAGAGAGGCGAGCGAGATTGAGAGAGTGAAGAGAGAGATGAGCGAGAGAGGGCAATAATTTGTACAATTCACACCTCGTTGTATAATTCGTGGGCACGTTTGTATAATTCGTGTGTACTTGTATAATTGAGTAATACAAATACTCAATTATACAAATATGATAAAAACTCAAAATAAGGAATTTATACAAATACAAACATCTGAAAAACAATTATACAAATTATATTATACAAATTACATTCTACAAATTATATTATATAAAATTCAAAAATTACACATTTATACAAACTTTAAAAAGTTATACAAAATAATGTATTTGGTGATAAAAGTAAAAAACCAAAGGAACTCACTGTCATAGACAAATACAAACCATCGTATACAAATACAAATCAAACGAAGAATTGTTAGTTGTGAATTATATAAATGTGGTGAATTATATAAATGTGGTGAATTATACAAACGCGGTGATTTATACAAACTCGAAGTCAACCCACGTAATTAATGCTTACTGTTAGTCACGAGTGGTAATTATAGCAAACTATAACTATGATGGTTAATTAAGATGTATAAGCTTGCTTAACCGCGTAATTTTCCCTAGAAACTATACACTGAGTATACAATATAGTTTATCTATACATGAGTTATACACTAACTATACATTATGATATACTCAAAGAGTTGAATAAGCTAATCGGGTTGTGCTTCACAAAACGAAATAAAAAGTCATGATAGAAAGAAGAAATGTTGCTATATACCATATCATATATATATATAAAGAGAATCTTAAACCCGCATATGTGGCGCTCTCACAGATCATAATTCTTATTTAAACCTTCTTAATAGTCACAACCTTACAGAATAGTCACAACTCTTTAAAAAAGTGGAAACTCTTCGTAAAAGTCACAACTTTTCACAAAAGTCACATTTATTCACAAAAGTCACATTTTTTCACAAAACTCACAATTTTTCGTCAAAGTCACAACTCTCAGTTTTTCATTCATACCTTTTAAAATCCAACACTTAATTCCAAGGCACCAAAGAAAAAAGAATAAACAAAGAAAATTGATTTCAATTGTAATGCGACATTACTACTCTTGCGCCTCTCAGTCCACAACCCATAACGTTGCTGGAATGGTTGAATTCATAAGATTTGGTTCTTTAGTAAACAAAACTTCTATTTCTGCCACTATTATTTGTAGGTTTTTTCCCCTATAGGAAAGTCGAATGCAACTACATTAATTAAGCTTCTTATGAAGTGAGTTTCTTTCTTCAAAGTTTTCTTCCTGCTGTTTCATGAAGCTTAATCTTTTACTGTAAGTCATAGTGATTCATGGAAATATTGCTATTTTGGTGATTTTTTTGAACTCTATTAAAAATCCTATCAAGGTTGATTGAAAATTGATCTTCTTTTTTGTCCTTTTTTAGAGGCTTTTTCATATACTTTTTGGGAAAATTGCTTGTGGGGTGTGCTATATTTGATAGCACACAACAACAAATATGTGATAACTAATAAGAACCAATAGTGAAGTTTCTTAAAAGAACCAAACAGATTGTTTTCTTGCTTGCCACAGTTAATATATAATTTTGATTGTTTTATCTTACGTACAAATATTTTGTATGCCATTGCACTCTTCCTAGAATATTAGTATAAAGACAATTAGTCCACTTCTTTTATTGCAAGTTGATTAATTTGTCATATTTCTTCCTCTCTTCTTTTTGGGCATAATAAGATATCAAGTTTTCTTGAAACTAACAGATGCCCAAAATACACTATAACAAAAACAACTTTTATCGGCAATAAATATAAACATTAATGAAGAGTGATAGAGCTTTTACCGACATTAATTTATTGTCATTAGATTCAATGTCGTTATAAACTTTAGGGACATTTATAGAAAGTACTAATTGCCTCTGAAAATACAAATTTAGCGGCAATTAAGCTATTAAATCATTTTTGTTGTAGTGATAACTCTTTCTTTTGGTTTCTTTCAATTAAATTTGTACGAATTGTAAACATGGATACAGCCCGACAGACTATCTTTTTAAAAAAATATGTTAAGCAACATCTCTTTTTCTTCTTGATTGTTAGGAAAGTAAGGTCGTCTGTATTATTATTTGTGGATATTTTTGAGTTCAAGTGCTCACAAAATTATGCTGTGAGATTTTAATATGTTATATATCAAAATTTTGATTTAGAATATCCAGTTGTGAACAGTTCCATTCAAAGGCCACATACTGCTTGGTTGATCATTGCATCAATTCTTTGTAACTGCATATTATAACCATAGCAATAACTATGGTTCAATTCCAAATAAGTTGGGGCCGGTGATATGAAACATAAGCAATAGTAATGACTATTCTGAGACAATGAGGAAAAAGTTTTATGATATTAACAATTTTAGGATCATTTTTGACATATACATGATACGACATACTATAATAAAAAAAGAGCTTGATAGAGGTTCATAAGAAAGGAGTCGAAGGTCCTCCATTTGAATTTAGTTAATTATGTTCTTGTATGAACATAATGTTCCACTTTACTTAGGAGTGATTTTGTTCGAGGCTTTTTGGTCTCTTCTTTAACGGCTAATGTTGTTCTTTATAACTTCCTGAAATTTAGAAAATTTCATTACTTCTAACCATCAAGTAACAAGTAACAAATAACTAGTAACGGCGGAAGTCTGGGTTAAAAGCCTAGTTTATCCTTTTCCATCGGAGGACCGGACTAGTGATGCAACAACAATCAAGTAATAGATAACTAGTAAGAGTTTCACTATGTCTATTTTCCTCAATGTGATTTAATTATATTTGTTATTTCAACTCCAGAAATTGCATGTGTAAACAACATTTAGACCATATTGCTTTTGGTTTTGTCAGTCATTTTCCCTTATTAGAAAATCGCCAGATAATTTTAAATACTCATTCACCAATGTTTCATATTTCGTGGATCGGATTTCATTTATCAATCTCTACCCTAACAAGTTCCTTAAATATGTTCCCTACAACTTTTTCATATCGTTATGTGTATGTGTCATTCAGACACAACGTAAAAAGTTCATATCAAAAAGCTAGGGAAAAAGGTCTGAAATATATCCGAACTTTGGAAAGGACCTTTTACCCCTCTGCAATATTTAATAGTGTATTTTAAAGGTATATATGTGTCCACATGGACATCATAAATATTGCATCATTATAAATAGTAATGTGTTCATGTGGACACATATATACCTTTAAAATACACTATTAAATAGTGCAAAGGGGTAAAAGATCCTCCATAAAGTTTGATATCGTAACAGCAATTTCGACCAAAGTTAAAGTATTTTTCAGACCCTTTTTCCAACCATTAAGTACTCTGCTATCAATCACGATGGTTTGAATATGAATCACTCGCAAGCGAGGCATGTGGACAATGCCATAGAGAACACTGAGGAAAGACAGATTGGCCAAAGACGGGGTAATTGTGCCTTGAAGTTGCAACAAGGCCATAACCCTTTTACTTTTTGGAGTGCAAGTGACACCAAATCAAGAGCAAAAAGAAGTATTTTGGTCCAACTATTGGCCAAAAAATGACTAGGACTTGTAATAAGATTTTGGAAAGCTAGTAGGACTTATATATATATATATATATATTAGATGTAATTGAACGAAGAAACTAAAAAAATCATCAATATCCTTTTAATAATATCAATTTAATAGAATTCATGAAATTTCTTTTCTATTTTTTCTATTTTATTTTAGAGAGATAGAAACTAAACTTATTTGATTTATTTGTCATTTATTCTTTTACAAATGATGACTAACCTAGTAAATTGAACTACATGAACGAAAAAAATTGACGATGTCTTTTATTTATCTTCTGAATATGCATTATAATTTAATAATGCTATACTTACACACTTTTAGAAAATCTTGATGATTTTCCTAGTAACGTATATTTGAGTGGATACTAATTTAAAATTTTTAAAAGGTGCAAAATAAAGTAAAACCATTACCAAATAAAAGTATAAAAAGCACAAGAAATTTTAAGAATGTTCAATAGAGTAAAATAAATGTAGGAAGAAATGCTTAATGCAGTATAATAAGGTAAGTTTAATTTAGCGAATTAAAGTAAATATTTTTCTTCTTCGACTCACTTCCTTTTTCATCATTTATATTTCACGTGTTTTAGGAATTAAATTATGTAAAACAACTGATCCACTAATTTTTTTTTAAAGTAGTTTTGTTCTCACTATCTTTGATTAGTTTGGTGTTTATTTTTATCAACCAATGAAACATCTATGGTTGCTTGTACAAAGAGTATGCCAAGGATTACTATGCTCATCGCGCACTTACATTACCACTTTAGCTTTTTCTTTAAACTTCAAACCCCCTTAACAAAATTTCTGAGTCCACCACTAATTGTCATATGAATACTTTTTGATAAGTCAATTGATTTGGTAATGATAAATTAAGGGATATTCAAGTTCATTATCATACAGTAATTGTCATATGAATACTTTTTGATAAGTTAATTGATTTGGTAATGATGAATCGAGGGATATTCAAGTTCATTATCATACACTAATTGTCATATGAATACTTTTTGATAAGTCAATTGATTTGGTAATGATGAATTGAGGGATATTCAAGTTCATTATCATATAAACACCCACTTTACTGATGAGATAACTTGTGAGGTTACATGGTATTTATTGAATTAAAAATTATTTTTTTCTAATTTTATAAATTTGTTTACAAAAAGAGTAATCATGCATATGATAAATGATATAAATGCATCACTTTCCATTTCACCTATAAATTCGAAAAAAATTATTGTGGGCGAGGTACAAGTAATGTTAGTTGTATAAGGCTTATTTGGCTGCCATAAAAGTATATGGGACCCACGTTTCACTTCCTTTTATTTTCTTTTGTATCCATCTGTAACCTTTTTTTCTACTTTTTCTTTCTCCTCACAACTCTTTTTTCCATTTTTTTTTGTAAGGGTTAATTCTTGACATAATTTTATTTTTATATGATATTTATTATTTGATTTTTTATTTTGCATCCCATAACTGCATTAAAATTCGACAATTTTAAATTTGCATTATATAAGACTTTGTTCAAAGAGACCAAGAAATTTTCATACTCAAAATTTGAACTAGAAACCTCTAGTAAAGCGAGAAGCAACATCATCTTCTGCCCCATCATTTATTTGAGGAAAAACAAAAATTGACGGTCAAAAAATTTAAATAATTTAAATTTTTTGAATGTGTTTTAAGAAAGTAGTTGAGTTATAATTACACACATATATATAATAAGTTGAGTATGAAAATTTCTTGATAGACAAAATATCTCTCCGAACAAAACCTACACAAAGCAAATATAAAATAATCAAATTTTAATATAAATATCAAATACAAAATTAAAAAAAAAAAACAAAAAACAAATATTGTACAAAAATAAAATTATTATATTAAGAGTTAACAAGTAAAAAAACAATGCAAGAAACAGTGGGGATGTAGAAGAAAACGTAGAAAAACGGTTAAAATGGATGAGAAAAGGAAATGAAAGACGTGGAATGGAGGTCCTATGTATATTTGGTAGCCAAATAAGCTCGACTAATTTAATAGTCCCTCCGTTTCAAATAAAAAATAATCTTCTTTTCCTTATTAATTTTTTTTACAAAAATTGGTTTTTCTTTTATGACAACACTTTCTACAACAAGCTTAACACCACAACAAGATTAAAGGGAATTTTAACGAAGGGAGTAGTGTATCACATCTAAATTTGCATATTTGAGAACCCCAAGTGTCGTAAAAAATCTCAAGATGATGCTTATGAAATTACCTCATTTACTTAATGGCTCGAAGTGAATAAATTCTTTTCAATTAACATTTTAACCAACTTTTGTCAAACTAATCTAAATCATAAAATAAGTTTGAATTTTAATTTTTAGAAAGAAAAAAAAAAATAACAAATGGAGAATGAAGAAAAGAAAAAAAAAAAAGATGTAGACGAGCAACAATCGAATCGTTAACCGGAAAAAATAACGATCGAAACGATATCTCGCCAATATCACTTTGCCTCCTGTAATTTCATATAAAATGATGAAACACACCAGAAAAATTGTTCATCATTCGATCAGAAGGAGGCATCAAACATATATACAAAGATATTATTTCTATTTAGCGAAGATAGAAAAACTGATTTCATATAATTATTTTGAGAAAAAAAAAATACAAAATAGGTTAAATTTAGATTCTGTATAAGATTAGAGAACAGAAGCTGCCTTTAGATACCTGAGAACTACCATCTGCTCAAGAGAAGAGTGACTTTTACAGAAGCTATTAAGGCCATTTATATAGATGGCCAAACCCTAGAAAAACCTTCAGAAATGGGCCTGATTTAGGCCCAGTTAGGGCTTTATGGGCTTTGGATAAGTGAGTTTATAAGTTTAGCCCAATTTAAAATCAGCCTAAAACAGGAACATAAGAGCAAATAACTCCTCAACTGGCCCAATTGACCCCCTGTAGCCCAATTACCCACCCCCAATCTCTGCCGGAAAAGTGGAAGAAACGCCATATCTCCTCCGTCGGAGTTTTACATCATTTTGCTCTCTCAAATTTTCTGATTCAGTTGAACTCAAAAGTATTATTATTCTACATTGAATTCCTCCGGTACGCTTTAGCGATTTTTTTCTATGTCCTGATCTTGTCACAAACTTAATTGTATCCCCTGGAATTAGTCTGAAGCAGGGGCGGATTTAGCAAGGGCTATGGGGTGTCGCTTGACAGTTGACACTGATTCGTTGGAAAATTTTACGAAATATGTACCGTGTGAGAAGGGAAAAAACAGATATATCGTTATATATTATAAACTAGTAAACTTAGCCGTGCTATGCGCGGTGTGAAAAAATTATTAAATTTATGATTTTTTATAAAATTAAATTATTAAAAATGTTTTAAAGGTTCTTTTCGAACTTCAAATCCAAATAAATAAGACAAAAAAATTCTTACACTTGAATTTGTAATTTTGATTTTTTTAAAAAAACATTTTTTGTAATTTTGATTTGATTCTTAAAATATTGATTTTATTTGAAAGAAAAGAATAAGCAAAAAGACTCTTTAAAATTTATGACTTTATTATTCATTTGAATGCATTTTTTATAGGGTTATGACGTGTAAATGAAGGAAAATATACATTTACAGTAGATAAATAAAATAAAGATTTGTAAGGATTAACTTAAAGTTTGCTTCCACTAAAATCATGTTATTTTTTCTAATATAAATGCATAAAATGTAGAACTAAATGAAAATTAATATAAAAATAATTGATCTATCAAGAAAAAATGAGATTATTAGAATTTTCAGTCTAGCCTCCTACATCTTTTGCTTTATAATATTTACCTTTCAAAATTTATAATTTTACATTTATCTTTCTTATTTTAATTATTTTAACACTTCTTTTGACCTAGTTAATATATATATATAAATATAAATATAAATATAAATATAAATTATTATTATCCCATTTATTTGTTTAGATAAATCTAACTCAAAAATCTCGATTAAAGAATCTTCTAAGTAGCATCACACATATAAATAGAATTTCCACTCTAGCCTCTTAGATATTTCAATGAAATATTTGATGCAGTGAATAAATGAACAATCTCTAATCTCCATACGAAAAGTATTATTACAACCCTTTTTAGGAAGTGATCTAATTTCAACCTATTACATTAGGTGGTTTTATTGTGGGAAGGAAATAATGCTTCCAATTGTTCATCACTTTTTTTCTTTTGCTAACCATCAAAGACAAAATTATTAGACTATTTACCATAATAATGCATTTAAATTTTTTGAATGGCCTTAATAAATTATACTCGCCGAATTTTGAGAAAAATGTGAGTTATGGAGATATTTTTTAAAAATAATATAATTGCAAAAAGAGTCAAGAAAAGGATGGGGAAAAAAGTTTGATCATAGCAAGGTGTCACATTACTTTATTTATACATAGCTTTATTATATATAGAGAGATTATACAAATATTAATGTTCAATTTACATATCTTTTGTGATTCTGACATTTTTTATGATTTTTTTTAAAAAGCATTATATGAAAAAAAAAATATTTCAACTTAAATACATAATGACTTAATTAAATAATGTATGTGAATGTAATTATGAAAAAACAGAAAGAGAAAAAAAATTATAAAGAAGAAAAGAACATGATGTAATATTTTGGGAATGTAAATTTGATATATAGCCGTCTTTGTGTATTTTATTTTTTAGTATTAATTGGCAACATTTATGTTTGATAATGTTGATATGTTTTCTCATTTTGATAGAAAAAAATAAAATAAAATAAGTTATAAAATGAAATTGGAAATAATGAAATGGAAATTCTTTGTTAGCTCTCCTCTTTTTCATTTAATTTAAAATATTTACAAACATAATTACAATGTGTCAACAAACATTTTAATCTCTAATTAAATTGAAAAATTAATGTATATTAATGACTATGCATTTTATTTTTCTTTCATGCTCATTTGCTATCACTTATCTCCCCTCAAATTTATTTTTCTTTCATGCTCATTTGCTATCACTTATCTCCCCTCAAATTTATTTTTCGTGTGCCATCATAATGCCATTGTATGTTATCACAAATTTTTTGTTTTCTCTCTATATATACAGTAAAGGAGATTCCCAAGTTGTTCTCAAGAGTCAAATTAGTTTAAACATATTTTTCCATATTGATAATAATTAGTAAATAGAAATTATTTCAATAAAATTAAAATAAATGAGATAAGGTAATATCATAAATCACAAAAACAAGAGAGTATTATGATGAGACAAACATGAACAAAGATCTTTGAAATTATTCAAAGAAAAGCATAAAAAAAAAAAGAGAATAAATAAGTACACACTCATTGTTAGCTACGGACCTCTCCCTTAGAACAACCTGCTAAAGTAAAAATAACAAAACAAAATCTAAATTTAAGAAATATGAAATTAGGAGTATAAACAAATTGCACAATACAAGTACAGAGAAAAAAGGTATAACCATCTAGAAACGAAAAGATAACCCAGTTAAGAATAAAAATCCACAATTATATTGAGATCTTTATTTTTCACTTACCTTAAACTTTATATAGCAATATATAAAAAAAATTCCACCAACAATGTGTATCCTGCATTAACAAAAAAAAGAACAAATCAACAACCAAAAGAAAAAAAATAATAATTTTGATACTACATATAAAAAAGTAAAAATGAGATTATGTAGAATGATATATTTTCATCCGTTGATATATAAGTAAGAAAAAGAAGGATGTCCTTTGGACTTTCATCATTGGAAGGTGAAGGGGTGAGTTAATTGACAGTTACTTATTTTTTTATTCAATAGTTACTTAATTTTTTTAATGACTTTAAAGGTTGTTAAAATTTAATTTAAATAAAATAAATAGAGAGATGAGAGAGAAAAAGCCATAAAATCACAAAAAAAAATAAAATGTTATTTCTGATCTATGAAGTGTGCCACATCAGCGGCCTTATGTTCCTGCTTTATAAGTAAAAATAAAAGAGCAAAATCTAAATTTAAGAAATATGAAATTAGGAGTATAAACAAATTACACAGTACAAGTACAAAGAACAAAGGTGTAACCATCTAGAAACGAAAAGATAACCTAGTTAAGAATAAAAATCCACAATTATATTGAGATCTTTATTTTTCACTTACCTTAAACTTTATATAGCAATATATAGATTTTTTTCCACCAACAATGTGTATGCTGCGTTAACAAAAAAAAAAGAATAAATCAGCAACCAAAAGAAGAAAAAATATTTTTAATACTACATATAAAAAAGTAAAAATGAGATTATGTAGAATGATATATTTTCATCCATTGATATATAAGTAAGAAAAGGAAGGATGTCCTTTGGACTTTCATCATTGGAAGGTGAAGGGTGAGTTAATTGGCAGTTACTTATTTTTTTAATTCAATAGTTATTTAATTTTTTTAATGACTTTAAAGGTTGTTAAAGATTTAATTTAAATAAAATAAAGGGCTAACCCATCGGTGGCCCCTTAAACTTGGCACGAAATTTCACTTAGGCAGCTCAAGTGGGTGATGTTCATTTTAGACACTTCATGTAGGGTTTTGCTGTGTCATTTTGACACTCTTTTGCCAATCAACAAAAATATATGAGGTGTGTGTTTACACTCGTGGATGACGTGTAAAGTGGCAAATTAAATGACGACATTTGTCAAAAAACAATTTGTAGATAATAAATTTTGAGTAAAAATATAAAGTAACCAATGACTCAATGACACATGTATTTTTACCCAAATAATTTTTTTAAAACAAATTAAATCAATAAAGTCCCCACATGACCCCCCCCCCCCACCCCCCCACCCCCGCAATTGTCTTCTCCAATAACTCATACCCATTTGCAGAAACACCCGCCACCGCCACCGCCGCCGCCGCCACCTCCTCCAAATATCCCTACTCATTTGCAGAAAAATCATACCCATTTGCAGAAACAAACCCCCCTCCCCCCTCGCGTCTTCTCCAAATACCCCTACTCTTCTTCAAAAAAAATTTCTTTTTTACCCTAATTAGCAAGTTTAAAATTCACCAAAAATTAAACTTACTCCTCTTTAAAATTCACACTATTATACTACTGCTTCTTCACTCCTCAGACACCCAACAAATTTCCAAAAAAATTTCTCCATTAGAGACAGACAAAATTCCTTGTTTCCTTCTTCCCCACTGCCTCTGTAATCTCCATTGTCAGCTTTCCTAATAAACCAATGCAACTCTCATTTGTCACTTTTCTATATCCCTGAAACCCAACTCAAAAATTCCCAATTCTTTCGTTATTTTCTTTCTTTTCTTCAATTCTTGTTCTGTAATTCAGGAGTGAACCATTTGATCTTTCTATACTTTTTTGTGATTCCCTTTTGGACGTACTGTAGTGGGGTTTTCGAGATGTTTGATCTAAATTTCTAAAATAGTTTCCATCATTATTCATCATTTTACTTTATCTATTTTTATTCACCATGTTGGATATTTAAGTTTGCAAAAATGGTGGCTGAAAATGGGAAAGAAGAAGAAAAAAATAATTAAAAAATCGACTAAATAGGT